TCACTTTTCTAGATAAAAGATCGTTCAATTTGTATTTTGTAAAGTCTTTGAATGCTGCGGGAATGTCTGTGTGTATACATTGCACGATGGGTAGACCCCCTTATCATAATTCAACAAGGTAGAGGGTGCCATAAAATCCTGCGACAAGAAATGCATACACAGAAAAAAATCTGAATTTTAATGTTGATGTAAACATTCATGCATACAAAAATTCAAGCATCTAAACTTTCTTTTCACGTAAACTTGCAACTTGCAAACAATATTGCTTACAAAAATAGATGGTTGCATACAATATTTGGAATATTTCATGAAATGGCTCATAAATTTACACGATCTATAATGTAAACTTGGATGATATGTGACGCTCCATTTATGTGCATCATAATAACATACATTTATACTACTTTTTCGAACTGTGTAGCAAAAACGGGGTGAAAGGGGAAATAGATGCTAATTTTTCATCAATTTCGCGGGACCACACAGTTTGAAAAGCAGTGTAAATATATGTTCAGGTGCTTTTTAGTTTTTACCATCATCCAGTCGCTTATTTGATTTGTTTTCCTGCGTACTAAGTGTTCTCTACTATCAAAATAGAATCGTGAGTTGTTTTCAAAATTTCACATTATTTATGACAAAACGCTATTAGCTCTATAAAATATATAAAAAAAATTATGAATAAAGGAAAACATCGGCAAACCGTTCTCTAACGAATGCTTCCTGTATGGTAATGGCAAAAATCAATTCACCGATTACATCTAGCGGATCAAAACCAAAAAAACCTGGACTACGGTAACAGCCCTACCGGCCATAAAAACATCGTATAAAGCTACCGGGCTACACCTTTGCCGAATCAAATTAGACTCTGTACCTTCCCATACGGAACTGAATGAGCAATCATGAATCCTTTTTTCCTGGGGGTTCGATTTTTCATCCGGTCCTCTCACCCACTCTGCAACACTCGCTGCCTTAGAGGGAGATACATGCATATTGTTGGAATCCAAAGGTAGCATGACGATCGCTCGCGAGTACCAAAAATTCAGCCTCAAATAGAGAAATGACAATATCAGGATGTGCGGCAATCATAATAACAATAACCAATATACCTTCACCCTCAATATCCGTAACCTTTTAGCGAGAAGAGGACTCTCAAAGTTTTGTTTTCCAAACCGAGCCGATGTAGTCATATAACGTGCATAAAATTGTGTGTGGCTTTTGATTTTGATATTTTTATGACTAGCAATCGGTGTTGGGAAATGGTTTTAACTTTGTACACTGAAAGTATAGATTCAGCCTATTTCTTTATTCGTCTTCCTTTATATATAGATGTGCCTTCCAACTTTATAGATTGTTTTTTTTTGCTTTATTGTATTAAATCATAGATCTAAATGTAATTGTATGATGATTGCCTGTTTCAATGTTTCAATCTAATATCTTAATAAATCAAAAAGAGTAAAATTTGTTCTGAGTGTAACCTTTGGAGGATATGTATAAAAACATCCAAAATGGAATTTTCCCATTTTTTCTCTCTTCGACACATATGTAAAAGTAGTAAAACTTGATACCTTTATTACCATATTTTCCAGATTCAATTGTTTTGATTACACCAACACGATACCGAAAGCAACTTCTATCGGCTGAGGACTGTCTTTGCCGACCGAGCATCATACATTCTGATGGCATGGTTGCTACTGACTGAAACTGCTTGTTCGGAAGTAAAAACAATAGAAGCCGCATGAGAGGGTCATATAGAAAGCAAAGTAGTAAGATAATATCACCAATATTGGTTGATTCAAATTTGGAATTTATAGCTGCGGAATATGACACCTTTAGTGAAAGATGTTTTTTTTTTCTTTTGCAAACACAAATACAATTCAAATCGGATTTTAGTCGTTAGTTCTCGTGGAGACTGTGGATTTGAATACCATTTTACCTACTAGCTTTTATATTTTGGAAAGATAAGATACGAGGCATTTTGCAGCAATTTATATTTTATTTTGTCAGCATGGTATAACAAAACTTTGGTTCTGTTGTTCGATTTGTATTCATGAGCAATGATAAGTATTCGAGTTAACTGAAATATAACCATATACATACAATACAGCTAAAATGACTGAGCTGACTGAATATTGTAATTTCAGAATGGATAATTTACTCAGAATAGGCGTTATATTCCAGTAGAGACAAAATAGCCAAGAAAAATCGACGTAATTCTTAAAAACAAGCACATGCAGAAACATAAGCTTTTACGTGAAATCTCCAAGAAAATAATAATCTTATTTATTTTGAACAGAAACGCGTTTTAATCATATATATTTTGGTTATTAAAGGTTTTTTTTGCGGATTTTGGAATTAACATGGATTTCAAGATTGCTGTTTATTTTAAGCTCTATCAATGTTTACCCTCCTTACCACTTGGAAAATCGATAGATGTCCAAAGGGCCGAGTGTCTTATACCAATCGACTCAGCTTGACCTGATCGTGCGTGCGTGTGTAACAAAATATTGGGACTCATGTTTCTCGGAAACCACTCGACCGAGTTGAACGTTACATCGGCCAAATGAAAGGTACTAACAATGTAACAATGCAAGTTCTATCGAGGTTTTAAAGCATTCTACAATTATAAATCATGGTCTACAGAACCCTCATAAAACCAAAATGGTTTCTTTTGTAGAATAAAACGTCCATAGAACACTATTGAATATTGTTGGAATCGGTCAACTGGTTCCGGAGGTATGGTTAGAACAGGTTCCAGTTTGTATGGGCCATGAATGAGACTAAATCTGACCTGAAACGAATAAAACACATCAAATGACATGAGAATAAAAAAAAACAGCTCAATAGTAGACAGGACTACAATGGCCAAATCCGGCCATGTTCCAGGTGCCCCCAGGAAAGTGAGCAGCTTCTGACTAGGATCAAAATCCATCATGCGATACCTCAAATCACATGAGATTACAAAAACCAGTTCAATGGCAGTCATTTGGAGTTCACAGGACATCATCCGGACATGTTCAAGGTACGCCCAGGAAAGTGGCTAGTTTCTGACTAGGGTCTAAATCCGTTATACGATACCTCAAATCACATGAGAATACCATAAAAAAAAAACAGTTCAATGGTAGTCATTTGGAGTGCTCATCTGGCCATGTGCGAGTACCCTCGGGGAAGTAGCCAGTTTGTTACTAGGATCAATTCTCAAATCACATGAGAATTCATTTATCTGATCACATCTTTGAGCACTTTTGTCGGAATTTCTATTAGTAAGAAGCGTCAGATCTCACCATAAGGGGATTAATTCAAGTTTTTTTTTTTAATTCTCGTTAGCTTTAAAAGTTGGTCGGTGGTGGCGGTTGGGATTATTATGGTGGCGTCAACGGCGTCACCCCGAAAGCACTTTTGGGTGGCGGATGACGTCGGCGTGAATCGGAATGACGTTATTTTTGCAACTGTAATCTAAGCAGTTCGTTTCTGGTACATCAAAAGTTTGAAAGACCCAAGTAACCAACAAGCCCGATAATCGCCCTTTTTGGTATATAAGGCTGCTATACGACTGATATAAAGTTCGGAAACCCTATATTTACCCTATATCGCAAAAAGGGCGATTATCGGGTAGTTAGCGGGCTTGGTGGTTAGTTGGGGATATTTCGTGACAGGAAACAATAACCGTATTGTGTATATCACGCCGGTTATTGTTTTATATAAATCCTTTATTTAGGAATAGTTATCAACAGATCTTCTAGTGGTCTACATGATAAAACTTAGAAATAGTTTTACACAAATATTCTAAAAGCCTAAAGTAATATTTTTATTATTACCTCGATTAAATATAAAATCAGAAATAGAGGCTACATGATTGACAATATTATTGAATTCCAAAATATGCATTACAATTTATAAAACGGAACTGCAACCTAAAAAGTGCGGTGTTTCACAAACTACACCCAGCGGCGCCGGTGGTGTAGTGGTAAGCGTGATTACCTCTCACCCCAGCAGGCCTGGGTTCAATCCCAGTCGGCGCCGCCGGGATGTTCTGAGGCATAACATCTCTGATCACGCCTTCCTTCGGAAGGGAAGTAAAGCCGTTGGTCCCCGGTTCATGAGTTGATGGGTCGATAGGTAGGGTCCAGGTGTAGGAGCTGCCTCTCTGGCGTCGGTAGCATTGGTGCTCAGCACGGAAAACTAAATCGACGGAAAATAAATCAAAGGAAAAAAAAAAACAAAAACAAATTACACCCAGCCGGGGGATGTAAAATTTGCTTACAATTATGTGGGATTCATCATAGCAGGATGTTAGTGGAAGTGGAGACCGCTTGAACGGGCTGTGGTCCAATGCAAGAACATTGGAAACTGAAAAATATGGAGTGTATAAGAGAGATAGCAAAAAAAAAAAAGTAAGAGGAGACACGACCGTAAATTTGACGTAGGATTACGTGCTTGGTCGGCGACTGTGTTAGGGAAACCTTTTTTCCATCACGGAAACGCTTCATTTTCTCATGATAAAATTACGCATTTTCATCAATCATATAAATTCGAATTTTTTTTGCTTTTTCCTTGCATCCTGAAGAAAACCTTACCTTAATTCAAAGTGTTTCTGGTTAATGGAAAAGGTCATGTGGTATTCGGTTATTGGAGAATTTTGATGAAACACTTCAATACTGTTACGCATTTGACCACAAAGGTTTGGTTGCTGGGTAAATTATCAAAGAGCTTTGGGGGTGATGTGGCTAGCAGCAAGGCGAGCGAACGTTCAATGAAAATTAACTCTTAAACAACAATTATTTATGGTAGTCCTGACAAGAACCGTTTTGTCCTGATGGTTGAGTAATGCTGAGCTACTAGGGTGTTCAACACGGATGCTTGGCATAGATGGCCCACAGCGGCTCACGACGAGCAACTGAATCCGATCAGTAGCAGTGCGGCTTCTTCGGTGAATCGTGGGCTATTGAGGGCAGCCTTGATAGCTAGCTGTTTGCAGGGAGCCTTTCGAGGTGTACATGAAAAAAATGTACACGCCACGCGCCGAAAGGACGGCTGCTGCTGATGACGACCTGACACCACCACTCACCACACTTGGTGATTGAATAAACACCGTTCGCTGAGACCAGATGGAATTCGATTTTGAAATCTGTGTTAGGGAAAGAACTTTTCTCAGGCAACAGTTGCACATTCGTGCAATTTTCAATAGTGACCTTCGATTGGCGTATTAAGAATTAAAATCCATCATCCTTTGGATCAAAATCAGACCACTTTCATGCCGCGACTGACTTTGGTTTTAGAAATTGCGCCCCCAATGTTGCCTTAAAAATACATGGTATGCTAGATTTCAACTTATGGGAACTGACATCCGATTGATGACCTTGACAAATGTCCAGAAAATACTCATTAATAAAATTATTGTAGCGGCGCTGATAGTGCAGTAGTAAGCGTGATTACCTCTCACCCCAGCAGGCCTGGGTTCAATTCCAGTCAGCGCCGCCGGGATGTTCTGAGGCATAACATCTCTGATCGCGCCTTCCTCCGGTTCATGAGTTGATGGGTCGATAGGTAGGATCCAGGTGTGGAAGCTGCCCTCCTGGCGTCGGTAGGATTGGTGCTCAGCACAGAAAACAATATCGACGGAAAACAAATCATGGAAAATAAAACAAATTTATGGTGATTCTGAAAAGGACCGTTTTGTCGTGATGTTTGAGTAATTCTGTGCTATTAGGGTGTTCAACAAAGATAAGGCTGGCGAGCTGTATGTTGTTTGGAACGAGGCTGACGCGCTTGCCATAGATGGCTCACAGCGACTCACGAAGAGCTACTGAATCCGATCAGTAGCAGTGTGGCTTCTTCCTCCTTCTTCGGTGAATGGACAGGTCGCTGCTTGCAGGCAGCCCTTCGTTGTGTACTGTAGGACAATGATCGAAATTCACCATTTCGCTTTGTGTTTTCTTAAAGCTGTGCCGTCGTTCTCCTCAATGTCATAAGCGGTAAAGTTTGCTCTTTGCGCTCAATGTGTGAGGTAATAACAAAGCTGGAATGAAAGATGTTCGAACAATTCAGAAATTGGATCTCCCTATGCAGAGTCTACCAATCGACGATCTGGTTAAGATCTATTCACATCTTGCAATCCCAATGCAGCTCTTAAATTGGTCATCGCTGTTGACAACCTGAGACTGACGCTTCCGTTGAAAGCTCGTCGTCGCCATAATGGTGGTCCTGCAGCGGTCAGGGCACGGTTTGGCGAGTGTGTCTATGGAGGACAGCGTACTCAGGAACATCCAGAATACAACTATCATATCTGCAAATGTGGAGGTGAGGAGGCTGTCGACGAAGCCTTGAAGAAATATGTTTCCTTCGTGGAGGCCGGAATCAATCCAGCAAGCACAGCAATGTCAGAGAAGGACGAACTATATTTATGGATACTGGAAGAAACCACTTAGTCGGGACTGCTGTGGAAATCCGCGAAAATACGTAGCGTTTCGAGTGCTTGAGATCTTAGAGGCCACGGATCGTAACGAGTAGGGTTGGGCAGAGGAAAATCCTACTGAAGAGGCTATGAACTGGGGTGCCTGACCGTACTTCAATTCAAAGTATAAAACTAAATCGTGTACTTTCTTGTATAAGGGTTAATGTTCCTAATGTCGGCCTGAGTGTCCCTAATATTGGGCCCATACATAATTTTCGAGCAAAAACTGTTGTTTTTTAATTTTCACTAACATAAAAATAATTCAAAAATATTCATTTATATTGTCCAGATGACGCATGGTTCTAAGACAAATTTAAAAACAGGATATTTTTATCTATGGACCTACTTTTTAGATCTAGGGGCCTCCCTTAGCTTGGCAGCAAGATCATGCTGAAGGTGACTGGGTTCAATTCCCGGTCCGGTGTAGGAATTTTTCGGATTGGAAAATTTTCAACTTCCCTGGGCATAGAGTATGATTGTACTTACCACATAATTATTCTAATGCTATTCTATTGTCACAATCAAAGGTCTGAAACGAAGGTGTGCAAAATCGAATGTATTTGAAAACTTATGGTATTAATATTCTCTAAAGTGGGTTTGTGTGGTACCCAGATAATTATAGCGAAAACATACGCTTGAAACGTTGTAAACCACATTTGTTCAACAAAAATTGTTGGTGTCTTCAGAAAAGTTGTGTTTTAAAATACTAAATGAAATCTCGAAAAACTAATTTTAAGGTAGTCCTGGAATAAAATCAATTATATCTCTTTAGGGTTAAGGTATAGGAACTTTGGTGACTTAAGCTGAATTTCTCAAAATCTATTGTTCTGCAACTTTGTGAAATTCCGTTTTTTTCAGAACTGTGTGACAACTAAAAACGCAAGACATAATGATCATTTTTACCCCGGTGAACAATTTAGACCCGGATTACGGTACATGTGGGTATTTGAGTGTTCCATAGCGTCTGTTTGGTTTCGAATGCTTCAATGAGGGTAATTATTAATAACTAATAAATTAATTAAGAGCCTGCACCATTTCAGCATTTGGCAGTCGCGTGTGGCATGCACAATAATGCTCTAGGCCCGAGCACGTCGAAATATACAACCCAAAATTTTTTTGATGTGCCATGGTATCAAACCCGTTGCCTTCAGCGTGATATAGCACGTATTAATGACTACACAGTACGTAAAAATAGTGTAAATTTCTGTTACTATGATGCACATAAATTGAGCGTGTTATACAATACAACTTTACATTACAGATCGTACAAGTTTATGAGACATTTCATAAAATATTCCAAATATTGTATGCAACCATCCATCTCTGTAAGCAATATTTGTTGAAAGTTGATATCTTACGCGAAAAGGACATCACCAGAAAAATTCCGATTTTTTTTTTGTTGGATTAAGCTGTATGGCCCAATTCTTGAACCATAATCAGCAAATTGCCCGTTGCAAGAAGACATGGATTGCTTCTCTATTGGTAGTAGCGTCAATTACACTAGTTTACAAATAAAAGTAAAAAAAAAATTAACTTCAATATGATTCTTATGTAAAGTCGTGCGTTGGATCCAAAAATAAGTAAATAAAAATCTCAATAGGAGAGTTTCCGAGATACAGCTAAAAAAATAAATTTCACTTGAAATAAAACTTTTTTTATACTAAAAAACAAATATTTCTGGTTATAATGAAGCTATATCAATTATTTTAACGCCAAATTAAAGGTGAAATTGGTTTCCGATCGCCTGGAAAATGTGTGTCAGTGAGCTAAGTGGTATTGTTGGCACAACTACTACAAACATTCCAATTGCGATCTACCATGCTTAAAAACTTAAAAGAAATCCAGTTTTTCTTTGAAATATACAAAAAAAAAGAAATCAAGAAACTATTAATTAACAACAATATCACTTTCTCGCATTTAATTTGGTGTTAAAATAGTTGATATAGCTTCATTACAGCCGGAAATATTTGTATTTTATTTAAAAGGCTTTTTTAAAGTGAAATCCAATCTTTTGGCTGGCAACATTTTAGTGTTCAGCGCACGATTTTACATGGATAGTGACCATCAGCGTACAAAGTTCAAATATGCTGTAAACTAGTATTATTGCATCATTTGTTGAACAAATTTGTAACGCTATTTATTTAAACTAGACCAATATTCCCATCCCTTCTTTAATTTTTATTCTATTCCTAATACAGTTTCTCGAACTTTCAGCTGGTAGGTATAAGTCAAACGCTATGCGCATGTTACAATGAGTGAATCATAAACAAACTCTTCCGATATGCTTCCCCCTGTCTCAGGTAAAGAATACGGAACAATAAAGGGGAAAATTGTTCATTATAACGATGCGACCGTTTTTATAGCTTTGTTCACAATCGTTCAATCTCAATTGTGTCATTATTTGTCACAATTAAATAATGATAAATAATGGTACAGCCTAGCCAGTTTCATTGAATTGAATGGGATATTGAAGCTTTGACTTTCGATCTTCATGCGTAAGCGAGTGTTGCATGGCAGAACGTTGAGATGGGAGAATCATTTTTGTCATTAGGAATAACAGCAGTCGTCAATAGTTCTTCATGGGATGCGAATCACGTTGCTATAGTTTTAAGCAGAAAGCCTTATCCAAATGATCAATGATTTTAATCCCCAAACACGAGGTGCTAGGAAGTCAAATATTTGATGTTATTATGTTAAGATTTTTAGATTTCACTTTCGTCAAATTCTTCTTCCGAAAGAACATCCGGCATCACAGTGCTGTTGCAGTCGCTCAATGATCGTGGTGGTAAGGTTTGTAATAGGCATTCACAATAATGGCTAATGATTGTTCCAAAATACGAGGGAAGGTGGTGGGAATGCCAAACAAAGCATAAATTTCTACATGCTATGAAGAAGATGGGTGAAAGGAGGGAAACCGAATCCCATCAGCATCAGCCGAATGAATGAAGAGATTAGACACGACGTATGTAGTTAGAAAGATGGTTCTGCTGGAAAGCACTGGAATGACCAACTTATACTTTTGCTTTTGGTTTGATAATGGAAGGTTTTTTTTCGGTTGATTTTGTTTTCCGTCGATCTTGTTTTCCGTGCTGGGCACCGATGCTAACGACGCCAGGGAGACAGCTCCCACACCTGGACCCTACCTATCGACCCATCAACTCATGAACCGGAGGAAGGCGTGATCAGAGATGTTATGCCTCAGAACGAACATCCCGGCGGCGCCGACTGGGATTGAACCCATGTCTGCTGGGGTAAGAAATAATCACGCTTACCACTACACCACCGGCACCGCTGATAATGGTAGGTATCTATATTTAGTATTGATGATCACAAACTTGCGTTATACATATTTACATTAGGTTATTAGTTTTACGTTGGTCATAGGTAATGAAAGGAAAGGAAAGTTTTATTAATATTAATAGGGGAAATGGCTCTAATGTTGGTCTATGGATCTAATATTGGGCTCATCGCTATAAAGCTGCTATTTATCAATTTTATCTAAATGCACGCGTCATTGGGACGGTACTAATGGATATTTTAATCACTATTAAAAATTTAGTCGATTGCTGAATTTATGTATGGGCCCTAATTAAGGGCATTTAGGCCGACATTCCATTTCCCCTATTTATTCATTTTAATCGTTGCGTAAAACTTCCATCGTGTAATTTGGAGCATATTTTGGTAGAAATATCGATCTTGTAGACAAGCTTGTAGTGTACATAATATTAGCGATGTATGCGGTTTAAACCTAAATTTATCGCCTATTTTAGCGTTATTAACGAGAAGCTTCCCACGCTTCCGCAAAATTTACGTTTTGATTAAAGCAGTCCGTAGATTCATAAGAAAATTTATATTTTCAAAGTGTTTTTTCCTATATCACCATGATAAAAAGTTGGATAGGGGTTGTTTACGTTTTGAGAGGATTTGAACCATCTTTCTCCCATCACGGTTTTCGAATGATTCCATTTCCTTGCATTTGGCAACAGAGGACTTCTGCATCAATTTCAAACCGAATCGAAAAAACGTGATCGTTTGAGATTTGAGTGGAAAAGTTTCATTTTAAGTAGGTAGTGTCTTCGGAAAGTTTCTTGAAATTCATATTCCGGCAATATCTACAAAATCAGTTAAATATTCCAAGGGTCTATATCAAGGGCGTAGAAAGGTTTCAAGCTAGGGAAGGGCGAAAAAAAAATTTACTATGGAAAATTTGGCCAAATGCCATTTCACCGAACGCCATTTCACCGGTAGTCTTTGTGTTGCTGAGTTTGGGGGATTAGCAGTTGCCCCCCTGTCAGCTCTGGCTACGCCTATGGTCTATATTACCTTTAATTTGACAGTTGTTGCGTTCAATTTGGTTTAGTGGTTGTCGAGAAACACGACTTACTTCCAAAAATCCGTGTTTTTCGGATCTTGTTTGAAGATGCTTATATACCTATGTTAACAAAGTTAACGTTAGAATCGATGTTAATGCACTTGAATTCTACTTAAAATGTGAAAAGTAAATTATGTTGTAAATAATCTTTTATGGACATTGAAATAAACTATACTATTTAAAAAAATGCTGTATTTAACTAATGAACTAATAATATTGAAAATATAATATTATTTTTGATATAGGGGAATTAACGTATTCTCGGAAACCTAAGTAGCGACCATCTTTCTATAGCCTTTTTCTCCTAGGAACGCACACATATGCAGTATTGGTTTGATAACAATCTTCTGCTGCCAGCTGCTCTACCAATTTCAATCGAAAGAATTATCAAAAACTGTTTTGAAACGCTTTTACAAAGGTCCAATCTTCTCTAGTGAGAGCGACTATTGTGGACAACCTCTTTTTTTTAAATTCGGCAACCTTTCTATTTGAGCTGCGTGTTAAACAACTGTGCTTTCATCGGCAACTCAAAATTAGCAGTATTATGTAGTGC